AGCTACAACCAAGAGGTAGGGGATTTCTTCCTAATTTCTTACATTGAGGCTAGGGTTTATGTATATACATATGTTTTCCACTCCCATCCATATTTATTTGATATGACTTGTATGATTCTTAATTCTCCTTGTAATAAATGCTATGTTTGAATAATGGGATGGTTTGGTAACCATTAAATTTCTCTTTTTCATCTTCCAAACTTGGTTTTAAGAAAAATTGAGTTTTCTCCATATATTGCCTTGGTTCTCACTTTATAAATTTAGTGTTCGATATTGTTCAACGAAAATGATCTTTCTATTGATCTTTTGCTCATTTTAATTCCATCTTGCTATGACGCTTTACTTGTGAAATTTGGGTATTTTGCGATTAATTGGTAAAATGTGAATTGATTGAGAATATGTTGGTTTACTCATTGTATGGTGGTTGGGAGGGACTTGGATTACCTACGAGATATGCCGTAAAGTGTAAATGTCAGTTGAACCCAGTGGGGGGGGGGAGATGGTTTCTTGCACTTGTAGTGAGTTGTCATTTGGTAATGCGACCACTATCGTACGCCTGGAGTTCGAACTAGGGTTGGTATACCATTCCTGGGGAGGGACTCGTCACTGCCATTGGGATGGTAGACGCCCCTTCCCTAAGTACTTGTGATTGTGATTATAAATGGGTGGACTAGGTATAATCGTTGGGTAGATTCATGAGAAACAATCAACATACATGGTACGGGGATGAACCAACATAAATGTGATGATTGGCTGGAATGGCTTGGCCGGTGCATTGGTATGGGACGATGCATCGGAGGGAGCCCCTCCTAATTGACTTAATGTTGGAAATGGTTTGCTATGGTTAAACTTAATTTATTTCTCTCCTTAACTACTGTATGGCTTAAACTTGAGATCTATTTAAAATGTCCCGTTTTACTTCAAATTCATATATGTTATTTATGAAATGTGACCGACCCGTTTTGTATTTTATAAACCTTGTTGGAGTTGGGAAGATTTTGCTACAGAGCCTAGTGCTCATCCCCTACTGTTAACATTTTTCAGACTATATCCTTGAGGAGGAGCCAGGAGTCGAGGAGCCCGTTCTTTGGGAGACTCCGATCGACGGGAGCGTAGATCCCGAGGTGGACGCCTAGAGCGGCCCTTCTATTTTGTTCTAGACTAGGCTATGTTTTTTTGAAAGATTGTAAAGTCTAGTTATCTTTTGAAATTTCGCTGCTTATCATAGTTTAATTCTTTGGGAATGTACATGCCATTGTGGGCATATTTTTTTTGGGTTAACATGTAAATTTGATGGATTGATTATATAGTAGTTAATTGGACCCGGTGTGGTCATTATAGTAGAATTGCACAGGTTGGATTTTGTGGTAGAGCTCCCCGTACAAAGGAGACTCTGCCCGAATTTTGTTAAAATATCAAGGGTTGATGGATAAAAATTTCTTATTTATGGATTTATTTAGTGCTCTCATGATTGTGAAAGATTTTAGAATGTAATGCCGTCCGAGGGGGTATTTGGGGCGTTACAGCCCACTTGATCAGTCTAGATCCTTTACGTAAAGCTGAGCCATTGCCCATGGATCAGTAAAGACAAATCCATGTTAAAGTCTATCTGGTTGGTATAAACCAACCTTGTCCCACTTCGTGCTAAATAAGTATATTAAAGCAAATATCAAAAAAAAAAGAAAGTAAATTAAAGCAAGAGTCTTCGAGTGAAGAAGACCTGTCCAAATGTGATGTGTGAACAAAGGGCTTTCTGTCATCGACTTGTAAATACACTTTTATGAGCTTCTAAAATACCTTTTAGGTCATGATCAATGTCGCAGTTGGTTCTATACATATAACATACTATTAGAAAAAGAATTGTAATGACTAAATGGTGGTGTGTTATATCGGTCAGTCATAGACCCTCCAATTGTTGGAACTAACCCTCCAGGAAAAGTAAGAAAGTTTGCATATTTTGACTAATTCAAGGTGAAAAACGAAGTTGCACCCTCAACAAAATTAGGATAAAGTTGAACCAAAAAATACCAATTCAAGAAAAATTCATGAGGAAGTGGTATATCTTTAGGATCAACCCTAGCGTTTAGAAAGAGACCTAAGTCCTAGTAGCCCAACTAAATTGTGATTCAACATAAATTCTACATCTTGAAACCAAGTTAATTTTGAAACAACTTTATGATAATGAAATCAATCAACAAAAAACATTAACGTTGTAAAGACCAATATACCAATTATTGTACAATAAAATTGTAATTCACTAGTTTCTCAACCTACTCATAATATTTGGATCCTAAAGATATTCAAATTGATTTTATGTCAGAACAAGACACCAGTAATAATTCTCTAGTTCAACATCTTGAGGGAATGAAGTTTAAAGTTTTAAATCACAGGAGAATCATGAGTTTTACACCCAAATTACATAAAGGTAAAAGGAAATTAATCCCCCCCCCCCCCCCAAAAAAAAAAAAAAAAGAGTGAAATCGAGCAATTTTTTGATAAATACATAAACCAAAAAGTAAATAAAAGTATCACCTACCAGCTCGTAGATGATACTTTTGAGTTAGAACACTGATATCTAATGGCAAACACAATGAATTCATGTACAACATTGCCTTTGGCCCTGCTTCACTTTTTTTAATGATCCTTCTCTTAGTGCCAAGCAAACAGTAATTGTTTTTTTTTCCTCCCAATATTAGCACAATTTTTATTTTTTTTTCAATCTGAGAAGGTAAGATCAATTGTTCTTGATTAGGGGTGTTAGCTCTGACTCGTTGAGGCGAACCCGACACAAACGATTATAAAATTGACACGATTATTAAATACGTATAATAAATAGTCTAGACTAATATTTAATATTCAAAACACACTAAATAGACTATTTTTTCGTGGGTCTTGACACGAATAACAATGACATGACATGAATAACACGACATGTGAGTCACACGAACACGACACGACATGATTGACACTCCTATTCTTGATGCTTAAAATTCAAGCATTCAAGATTTCAACATTTTGGTTTTCAATGAACTTCATTTTTCCACCCAAATGTCAGACCAAAATTAATGACAGAAGGAAAAACTTCTACCAAATGAGTCTATATTTACTTGGCAATCAGAGAGGCTATGAAAAACAAGGGTTGTTTTTATTGTTAGAACATCTCTAATAAGCTCTCTATTCCCACTCAATTATCTATTTTAAAGAGTCAATCCTTAAAATTTCTTCTATAATGGATTCTTTATTTAAACTTTCTAAAATAAAAAATTTAATTTGACTATCTATATTTGGAGAGTCAAACTTATTCTTTACTTTATTTTTTTGAATAAAAAACATGATATATTTATCTTTTCATCAAAGGTATTTAGGAAAAATGTATCTTATTTAAAATAATGAAAAAGAAATAGGAGGAAAATCAAATTCATTGCCAAAAAAGACAAAACATAAAATGATGAACGACAAGAATAGAAAGTCTTATTGGGTTGGTGTGTAAATATTCACTTTCTATTATAGTTCTTTATTAAAAATACCCTGTATATTAAAAAATACGATCTTTAAAATAGAGAGTATAGTTGGAGATGTTTTTAGGTGTCCAATGGAAGCACAATCCGTTTCTCAAATTTGAGTAAAAAAAAGTAAAAAACTTGATTTGATATAGACTTCTCAAATAGAGAAACTTAAATTTAAAAGAAGAGAAACTTAAATTTAAAAGAAGAGAAACAAAATTTAAATAACAACAAACTTAAATTTAAAAAAGAATAAAATATGACCATTAGATCTTTAAAAAAGGGTGAAATCGTTCTATTAAATATTTGAGTATAATTTTAAGTAGAAAAATGAGTCTCTTTTAATTTGACACGAGTATGGATCTAATATTCAAGAAGATTTTGAAAATTATTTTATCCAAATTTAAATTTAAATTTAATAAAAAATAAGAATTGGAGATGCTCTTAGTGCAGATTCTCTCTGGGTCCAAAATGGTATTCGCTGGGTCCAAAATGGTACTCGGTAGGCCCCTTAAAAAAACAATAAAAGGGTTTTTAGAAGTCGGTACACCTAATTAGACTTATTTTGACAAAAAGTACATATTAAAAAATATTTTGAAAAAAGATACACTAGTTAGATACAAAGACATAAATGCCAATTTTAAGGAAAGTGATGCATTAAATATCTCTTAGTTTTATGGGAGAACTTTAATATTTAATGCACATTGATTCTTGTATATTTGTTAATATATATATAAACAAGTATATATAAATATGTACAAACAAGTATATATATACATATACATATATTTATACGTATATATATACTTTTATATAAATACAATATATGTATATATATTTATATTTATACTTGTGTGTGTGTGTATATATATATATATATTAACAAATACACATGAATCAACGTGCATTAAATACTAAAGTTCTCCCATAAAACTTAGAGATATTTAATACACCACTTTCCAAAGAACATACACATGGATCAATGGAGGACAAAAATGTCACAAAAAAATTAGGCAAATTCAATTGTGTACTTAAATACAAATAAGTATTAAAATTAATAACTTAATAATTCTACATTTTTTAGTGTGTACTTTTTGCCAAATAAGTCTAATTTGGTGTACCCATTACAATTTACCCAACAATAAAAACTACATTCACCTACCCTGGAGTGTTTCTGGGCTTGACCCTGTTTTGACCCTTATATATATACCCAATAACCCTCTCTATACGGGTCAGGGTCAACAAACCCGCACAAAACGAGTACTGACTACGGAACCCGAGGCCAAACCTTCGCTTAGAGTTAAACCTTTGCAGCACTTCAACCCCACTGCCAAAACCCTAACACCTACACTCCATCAAACCTCCGGACCACCACAATCTTCCCTTAAACCCCCTTCTACAACACACACAGAGAGTAGCCATATATCTGTATTAATGTATGTTCTAGCCAAAAAGCAATGATTGTTGGTTGTTTCACTGTACCACAGTACGCTGAAAATGAAGCTACCTTTTGAAATTTTTCTTATCTGCTTTGTCCAAACGATGCTAATTCTTCTCCGAGGCCTCTTACTCAGAAACTCCAAACGTGTAAGCGTTTTCCTGTCAACGGGTCCTAATAACATCTATTGTTGTTTGTCCAATGGTTCACAATTCGTCTCACCTTCGTCCCACACTTTCTTGTTATGGATCACTGGTTTTTTGTGTTTTTTTCGATACCCATTTGTTACAAAAGTGAATTTTGATAGTTTTCATGAAGTTTTTAATAGGGACGTAGTTAGTAATATTGTTAGGGAAGACAAATGGGATGATTTTAGGATTGTTAGCGTGTTTGAGTCAGCTTTAGCTCCAATTTTAGTTTCTAGAATTTTGGTCGAATTGAAGGGAGAACCAAGATTAGCTTTGAAATTGTTCAAGTGGGCCAAAAGGCACACTGGGTTTTGTCACACTACAGAATCTTATTGTATTCTTGCTCACATTTTGTTTTGTTCTAGAATGTGTATTGATGCTCATGCAATTCTCAAAGATTTGGTTAGTTCAAATAGGGTGTTGCTTGGTGGTGATATATTTGATATATTGTGGTCGACAAGGAATGTTTGTGTTCCGGGGTATGGAGTATTTGATACATTGTTTAGCGTGTTGGTTGAGTTGGGAATGCTTGAGGAAGCAAGTGAGTGCTTTTTAAGGATGAAGAGATTTAGAGTTCTACCTAAAGTGCGCTCTTGTAATTATCTCTTGCATACCCTTTCAAAGACTGGCAGGGGGGAGTTGTCAAGAAAGTTTTTTAAGGATATCATTGGGGCTGGAATTTGCCCGTCAGTATTTACGTATAATATAATGATAGATTATGCTTGTAAAGAAGGGGACTTTGAAACTGCAAGGAGCTTGTTTGCACAGATGAAAGAAATGGGGGTTACACCAGATATTGTTACTTATAATTCTCTTATTGATGGCATGGGAAGCTTGGGCAGTTACAGGTTTCAATGTCTATATATGAGGAAATGAAGGATGCAGGGTGTCAACCTGATGTGATAACATACAATGCTTTAATTAATTGTTTCTGTAAATTTGAAAAAATGCCGCAGGCATTTAAGTTTCTCTATGAGATGAAGGAAAACGATTTGAAACCTAATGTTGTAACTTATAGTACATTTATTGATTCTTTTTGCAAAGAAGGGATGATGCAAGAGGCAATCAAGTTTTTTGTGGACATGAGGCGAGTTGGTCTTATACCTAATGAAATTACGTTTACTTCTTTGATTGATGCAAACTGTAAAATAGGTAATTTTGGTGAGGCTTTTAAGCTGGTCAAAGAGATGCTAGAAGCAGGAGTCAAACCGAATATTGTTACCTATACAGCATTGCTTGACGGCCTATGTGAGGAAGGGAAGATAAGTGGAGGAGAAGAAGTTTTTAGGGCAATGCTGAAGGCCAGGATAACTCCAAACCAGAGAATCTATACTGCCCTTGTTCATGGTTATCTCAAGGCCAAAAGGATGGAGGATGCCATGGATATCGTGAAACAAATGAAAGGAAACAACATCAAACCAGATCTGTTGCTAAATGGAACTATCATCTGGGGTCTTTGCAACCATGGACTTTTTGAAGAAGCTAAGCGTTTAATTTGTGAAATGGAGGAGTATGGTGCAGAAGCAAGTCATGTGATTTACACCACTCTGATGGATGCATATTTTAAAGCTGGAAAAGTCTCCGAAGCTCTCAATCTGCTACAAAGAATGCAGGACTTAGGTATTGCCCCTACCGTAGTGACATATTGTGCACTAGTTGATGGTTTGTGCAAGTTGGGATTCATCCAGGAGGCAATTGATCATTTTGGTAGGATGCGAGAACTTGGTTTGCAACCTAATGTTATGGTTTATACAGCACTAATTGATGGGCTTTGCAAAAATAAATGCATAGAAGCTGCTAGGAAGCTATTTGACGAAATGCTTGCCAAGGGCATACTTCCAGATAGAACTGCTTACACATCTTTGATTGATGGTAACTTAAAGCATGGAAAGATCCCTGAAGCCTTGGATTTGCATAAGAGAATGATCGAAACTGGTGTGGAGCTTGATCTTCATGCGTACACTTCTTTGATTTGTGGGCTGGCTAAATGTGATCAAGTGCAACAAGCAAGGCATTTGCTTGATGAGATGATTGGGAAGGGTGTCCTCCCTGATAAGGTTGTTTATGGTTGCCTTCTAAGAAAGTGTTATGAGATAGGTAATATGGATGATGCTCTAGAATTGCAAAATGAAATGATAAAAAGGGGTCTTATTTCTGGCATACGTGATTATGCTGTTCCAAATGTACAAAGTTGAGGGAGTCTACATGATTGCTCATCCTTTGTGACAGTGTATTGGAGATTTGATAGAAAACAACAGAATCAGTCTATCTTGGTTGGGAAGAATAAGAGCAAACCAAACATAAAATTCCGCACAATCTGATAAATGGAAATGACTTGTCTGCTTTTGGCACATACGAAGAGCTTGCTTGAGATATTTGCCAGAGAGTTTGCTCTTAGGTCAGAACAGCTATCGGAATGAAGAGTGCTCTTATATTTTCTCAATCAAGCCTTGTTCAGTTTGTAATGAGGTAATTGTGTATATTTTTTCATATTCTTCAAGTTTTCTTTTCTAATACATACAAATCACATTGAATGCTTCTAAGCTTTAGTCTTGTAATTCCTTACCAGATTGACACTGGCATTTAAAATTTTCAAGGTTCACTTCTCTAACACTCTTACCCCGTGCTGCTCTTCAAATTACAATTACGAAATATTTGTGGCAATCATACTGGATTAAAGTTGGCAAAGATCTGTTGGGGCTATATTGCATAAAAATTAACCAAGTCAGTGGATAAAATATTTTGAAGCTTAAAGCCTTTTGCCCTTCACTGTTCATGATGTTCTGATAACTTATTTTGCACGTCATACTTTACATTGAGTTTTCAGCCTGTTACCTGGCCCGCCTGACCCGTCCCTTGTTCAAACCATCTTGAAGTGGCTTGAACAGGGATCGCAGAATCTGCCTTGTTTGAAGAACAGGACCACCTCGTTGGAACGATCAATGGCCTCTTTTGAACGAGATCCCATTGTTGGCCGAAATTGATTCTTAAAAACAAAGTTTTCCATCTTAAATGCATATTTAAGCTATAAATATATTATTTATAACTTATGGCATATTAATCATAATTTCACGAATTATATTAGTTATAAATGTAATTTATAACTTATAAGTTCATTATTTTTTTTTCAAACAGGGCCATGGGTCAGCCCATGCCATGAATTGCTTTAGCCCATATCACGAGCTATGGATAGACCATGGATTCAGGGCCAAGCCAGCAGTCCGGCCATGCCATGGGATCCTCATGTCCCATGTGCTAGGTTTGCTTAAGTATTAACTTTTTTTTGTAAAACATTTTTCACTAGTTATTTTTGACTATCCTTTCTACATCCGGCTTATAAAGATGCTCTTTCATTCTTTGTTCTTTTAATTTTCTTTAATAGGAATTGAGTTTGCCATGTGCAATTTAGGTTTTATTGCTTTCCATGGACATCAACTTTGAAAAGTTGGAACTTGATTATTTAGCACTTAGAATGTTAATAAATATTTTATTTGTTTTTATATTGTTCGCCTTTCTTCCTTGAGGCACTTGGCTCGCCTCTCTCTCTCTCTCTCACACACACACACACATATCTCGCTTTGGCCTTAGGAGACCTTAGTTTCTTAACTCGTCTTACGCTTTAACTAACACTGCACCAAAAATGGAATATTTGAGATTAAGATTACTATGGTAGTCAAGGAAAAAAAACAAAATGAAGGAAAATTTAACCTCACCACAAAAATAAGAAAAATTAAAAGAAAAGAATTGATTTAGCTAGGAGAGAAAAATAATGCTTCCTAGGTCAATTTCTGACTACAACATGAGTAGATGGCATAACTAAACTCCTTTAACTGCCAATATATCAGAATTCACAAAATCCCTGATGACCCACAATTTGGGTACATTGATCTCAAACGAGATAGGTTCGCGATTCAAATCACCAAAATGTAGGACCCTAAATTGTAATACTAACCCTAAATCAATTCGTTTTGGAACATGTACCACATGTAAAATACATATTAATTGACTACGTGTATATAGATATATAATCATGCATTATTTTAGATAATAGAAAATCAAGCACAAAGATAAGATAAATGGTAACTGACTTAGTATTTATGGATATTCTATGAAATATAATGTACCAGACAAAAAAAACGAATTGCGACCAAAAAATGTTTATTGTTTAGTAATAGGCACGTTCTAGAGAAGTGTCGGACACGTTACCAAAGAAGTGTCCGAAATTAAAAATTTATCATTTAATTATGGACACAAATAAAAGAGTATCGGACACGTGTTAGAGAGTGTCCGAAGAGTGTCGGTGTCCGACACGGATACGTCACGTTCTCAAGCGTGTCTGTGCTTCATAGTTCTCAACAATATCCACAATCAATTTCGTCCACATCCAGATGGAGGGATCCCCACAAAGAAAGAAAAGTATTTTTCATATTGTGTTTGTGCCTCATGTTGTTCTTATTTTCATCCCTATGCTTCCCAGGAGGTAATGTGTGTTGGATCCTTTTTATAGGCCTTGTCCTGCTTTGTCTAAATCTGAAGTAAATGTTCACTAAATTCTCAAGCCTAATGTAGGCGATGGGAAGAATAACAAATTGAAGATTTCTAACGTGAGACATGTCCATTAATAGGTGATATTGGAAAATTCTGTTATACTTGAGGGGTATAGTTTGAGGATGTGTCTTCCTGGGAGGTTTAAGTCTGCTGATTTGTTTTTCGTCCTCAGGAAGATATTGAAAGCCTGGAAGATAGAATTGCTAGAGTATGTTCCTTCTAAGACTTTGTAATTGTAGTTATACCGTTTGTGAGATTAGACACAGATGGATATATGGGGATGGTGCATGAGTGAGTCTTGTCATCTATTTTTGAAGGTCCCATATCTGACATTAGGTGGCTGGTTTTGTTAAGATGGCAGCTATGACAGGCAAAATGACATGGAGAATCTAGGTCATCTCCAACGTGTTCTTTCTCTCCAAATCTTAAACAAATTTGGTAAACCATTGGCAAATATGGAACTAAAATCTTCACACATGTCCACGTATAAGAGAGCTTATGGAATAGTGTGAGTTATCGATCCTGGTTTGGGGCCTTTGGGTTGCAATTACTAGTGCTGGTATTTTATTTATTTGTTTATTTTTTTTGAAGGTTCGGTGGTTGGGGATTTAAAGCAACTTCTACCAGGTTTTTGTATAATAATTATTTGTGGATATCTAGTTGTCACATAAAGGAATGCTTAACTGAAAGAAAGAATTACTCTGGTGTTTTATTTCACTCGCTAGATCCTGCAATGTGTTTTGAAAATTATTTGTTGTCTCTCATTGTTTTCTTTTATTATTAGCCACTTGGTAAGCAAAAATTTTATTTCTATAGATATATGTATGTGTGTGTGTGTGTGTGTATGTGTGTATATATCTATACATAGCTACAATGAATAAATGTGTATGATTTAATGGAATACTTTGGGTTAGGTGGTTCAAATTATCATAAAGTAGTGGTTCGTTCAATTATCGAATGAATCTAATTGTGTTCTTCCCTAAGTAACTCTACAAGTTACTAGCATACAATATAGTGCAGGACCCATAGTAGTAGTAAACACATCAAGATAAGTTGGGCAACTTCTAACAGCTTCTTGTATTAATTGCCAGGTGCTGCTGCTTCTACTTTTTGCCTGGGACTATTTCATTGTCACTTCATCCGAGAGCTGGTTCGGTGGTTTTGCAGTTAAGTTTACCATTGTTATGTTATTCAGGATTTTCCTGTGATTAATTAGCAATTAAAATGTGTTATGTTATTCAGGATTTACCTGAGATGGATTTGCAATTTTAATTTGATTGTTTTTAAGAATAAGAAGGCATGATTTGCTTGCTTGAGTTCTGTTTATTTATCAGTTTATGCTAGTTTCTGATGTTATTCAGGATTTACCTGAGGTAAATTTGCAATTTTAATTTTATTTTTTTAAAGAATAAGAAGAAGGCATGATTTGCTTGCTTGAGTTCTGTTAATTTATCAGTTTCTGACATAATTGTTGACTATATGTATCAGCTCATGCCTGCATTTTCAAGAACTGAAGGAGAGGTTAATAAGCACTGACGATTGAAGTTGGAAACAGGTAAGATATGTCTATGAACACTTCACTTCGCTGTCTTTTTTATGACTCAAAATTTTCAGATGTCATTCATCTTCTTGTTTTCGCAGTTTTTCTGAATTTTGCCAGTGAAATCGTCAACTAGCCTCCAATTTTTTGCACTTTGTTATCAATTTTTGGACTTCTGGTGTTTGTTTTTCAAACTGACTTGCAAACCAATGGACCTTTGGATCTGGTATTATTTTCATCGGCTGAAGTTTTGTTACCCTGTCACAAATTTTAACTTTTTTTAGTATCCTAATAAAATATCAAGTATAAATTTGACACAGACCCCCCCCCCCCTCCCCCCCCTCTTCTCTCCCTGAAATTTTACATAATTTCAGAAATAACACGGAGTCTCTTTAAAAGTCCCTCAAATTTCGGAAATAACAGAGTAACATTTGAAATGCGTAACAGTCAAGATCCCTTTTCCGTGAAGGCCAATTAATTTACTAATGGGAAGGATTATATCATCCAAAAAAAAAAAAATTAAAATATTTGCTAGCATACACTAATGTCAGTAAGACTAATAAAACATAATTACCCCCTATAATAGCATCAAAAGCAATCCTACCCCCACTACAATTTAATTATAATTTCTCTTTTATGTCGTATTCTTTCTCCACTTTCTGTCAAATAATTTTGATTAGTAATTAACATAATGATTATAATTCTATAAATAAATTATCCACTTGCTCTTTTTAAGTAACAATTTTTGTGATTAATTATTAAATTAAGTATATTTAGAAATTAGTCACTATTTTTCTCAACTATATGATTTTGATAATTAATTGTCATGTTAATTATTACTTCAGAAATTAATTATCCAATTAGATCATACTAACAGTTAGGGTGCTCTAGTGGTTAAGCTAGCCCTTTTGCAAGCAAGAGTTCTCATGTTCGATATTTTTCACACCCCACTAAAAGTCAGCCACTCTTGTTCTTCATGGGACATATCCTTAAACTAGTTGGAGTTACGGTGGTCGGCTTAAAGCTAAAGGAAGTAGTAGGTGTAAACTTAAACACCCAAAAAAAATAAATAAATAATATAGATCATACTAGTCTACCTAGTTACACAAATTCTTTCCGCCAGCAACCACTCACTACCTCCACTTTCACCACCATAGCACTGCCCATCACCAGCACATACAAACCCACCAAAATTCACACACAAACGTGCAATTTGACAACCAAAAGTCACTTTTCGGAAAAAAAAATTAACCACAAAAAAATCCAGCACAAAGGCTGAATTGACGAAATCCTAAATGGATGAGATTTGTCAAATTCAACCACTATGTTCCAAATTGATCAAATCCGTTAAAAATGAACCTGGGCACAAACATTGCACCACCATATTGAACCCAAATAGAAGACATCACATTGTGAACTATGAACTACAGACCACCACTTTAGGGCACCATAGCAGCACCAATTGGGGTTTAAACTACTGTCACTCACCAACACGAGTCAATAAACATAAACCCAAATGAGAGAGAGAGAGAGAGAGAGAGAGAGAGAGAGAGAGAGAGTTTGCGTTAAATTTGTTTCAGATTTGATGTGTGAAATCTGATCCAGGGAGGAACTCAACTGATTCCATTTGAGTGATTGTTGGAGTGCTCTGAGCATTGGGTAAATTTGGCAATGGAGGTTCATTTGTTGATGTGTTCTCTCGATATTGGGCCCTAACTTTCTCTTTGTTGTCGCTGTGTGGGAGGTGGGGCAGGGAGGCTTATACAAGGTGGGGGCAGGGATGGGTGTGCAGGTGGGCGAGGTAGGTGAGGGGTTGGCTGTGGGAGGCAACCGTGGGGATCTACATGAGGTAGGTGGAGCAGAGGGTTACAGAGTGGGGATCTAAAATTTTTAGTGTCTGGGCATTGGTCTTTTAGGTTTGGGTAAAGGGCATGGGTTTAAATGTGTGCCTATACGTGGATTCATGTTTTTACAATGAATTTTGACCTGTCAAATCAAGGGTGAAATAGCCTTTTTATTGGAATCGTTAATGCTGCCCAATGGAGTGGGGTTTTCAAAATATAAGATAGTGTTTGTGTGATTATGTCCATTGTCAACGGTACATGTCAAATTTAGCCCAATGAGTGGGGTTTTCAAAATATAAGATAGTGTTCTTGTGATTATGTCCTATATCAACGGTACATGTCAAATTTACCTCCATCTAAGCAAGGCAACGTATTATTTTGTGTGTCAAAAAAGGGTCTGTGGCACCATGTTTAGATAATAATGGCATCCTCCTACTCTCTCTCTCTCTCTGTAATGCTATCTATGATCCACAACCAATTCATGGGGTTAGATCTTGATCTTTTAGCTATGTATGTGTTTACACTCATGGAGATTGCAAATGATGTTGAATTTTTCTCAGGTTCAATTGAAAATTTTTCAGTAGATGTGATTCGGCTTTGGTTGGTTTCAGGTGGGTTTGTCTGTAGTTCCTCAATGGCTTGAAGTTCTCCTAGGTCATGAGTTTTTCAACTCATGTACGATATATTGTTTCTGTATATTTGTCATTCAATACTTATGTATGTGAAGTGAAGATTGAAGCCCGAGTTTTAACAAGAATAATGCTAATTTGGGCAACCTGAGATTTCTACCCGAGTAGTATAAATGGGAGTTCAGTCCGTGCTCAAAATTTTAGTTGTTGGCAGTACTCAAGTTGAATGGTTTAGGTTGAAGTTCGGGTGATTGAGCTCAGGTGAATGATTTCATGTTTTAGGTGCATGGGTTGACTCCTAAACCTGCACAAGTTACAACTCTTATCAAGACTGAGTCTTGATAATGGGTTGGACCGGAACAATGACTTGTCAACGGGTCGGACCATACCACCTAGGAAAAATATTGCATATGGCTTCCCATCTCAGCCTAAACTTTCTCAATGTGACATTATTATAGGATGAGTATATCCTAATATAATGAGATTTTTTTTTTTTCAAAGCTTCATAATTTCAATAAAAATTGGTGGAGATTATTCCATTTGTTGTGGAGGTATCGGGTGCGGTTGGTTTTCCTTTGTTGTGTACATACGATGAAGCTATTCAATTTTGACAAATGTTCATATTTTGTCTTGTGCCACTTGTCATAAAACCGGTAAGAGGACCGGGTCAATGGTTCACTGATTCAACCACTGAGTCAACTGGTCGGATTGGTTCTGTAATAAAAAAATAAAAAATATATATATAATAATTATAAAACTTAATAATTTAGCTAAAAAATATAAACTATGTACAAAATACATATAATTTGCCATAAAATTATTGAAATTAAGTAACAAAGAGGGGGTTATTGTATTTTAAAGCAAAGTAAAGAGATTCAAGTAAATTATAAAGAAAAAGAAAGGGTGTCATTTATAATTTATCCAAGAATAAGGTTAAAAAAAATTAGTTATTTATTGATTTAGGGCAAAAAAATTTATTTATGTAATTTAATTTTTAAATAGGCATTAAACCGTCCGATTTTTATAAAATCGGCGGTTCACGGTTTTTGTTAAAGATCGGCCGATTTTTTGGTTTTTAACCGGTTCGCATTCTTAAGCGGTTCAACTAAGGAATCAGACTGGTTCAAATTCTTATTTACGATTGAATTGGTTTAATCGGTCGGTCCGGTCCAGTTCTGATAACACCGGTGGCGTGCATGGTTCAAGAGGCAGTGCCTGAATGTTGAGATACACGAAACTTTATGTGGGTAACGGGGTGATTGACCTATGTTTATCTTGACTAAACGATTTTGCTTTGTATGAATGACGGTTGTGCTCATCTTGACCAGTTGTTCATTCGGTCGGATTTATACGGTGCCAACGTCATGGAGGAGTGTTACTTGGTTGATCCTACTAGTAGTTATATGCTTGTCCCAAAGATTAAATTATTCCAATAATGTTGAATGAATTGAGCGTATAGGTTATAAGATTTTATTACCTAGGATCAAACCTAATATTTATTGACTGTTTGTCTCACCATAAGTAATATATGGTCAATTAGATCTAGATAAAGGTGGCAATTTTAATTTATTATCCATTAATCTGTTCAACTCATCTATAAATAAATGGATTGAGTATCTATATTAATTAACACGAGTTTCAAATAGTTTGGATAATATGATTCATTTTAATTAAATGAGATAATATGAATTATAAATAGGTATTCATTGGATTGAGTATTTATCTTTTTATTAAATAACACAAGTAATAAAAATAAATAAATATACTAATATATTAAAAAATACACACTATTACACCAAAAAATATACACATATATATATATAATAAATCACATAGGAAGTTGAATTTTATACCATACATATTTTTTCTCCCAATTCTATCACATCATCCATCTTATCACATGTTCAATCATTTAATATTTAATTAATTTATAATTTAATATTATTTTTATTTCAGATATGATCTATATACAATAGTATATACATGTTGAGAAAACATTGTCGAATTATATATTTTGAGAAAATTTTGTTGATGTTTTTTTTAAAAAAATGGATAAAAATAAAATTTAAATGATATAATCAAATAAATGAAAGAAAAAAATTGTTATTTAATATAATGAGATTAATTTTTTGGCCACTTTAATTTTATATTTTTTTGTGCCTTCAGGCATGAGATATGATTAGTATATTAATACACTAAAACATACACATACTAGCACATCAAAAACACACACACTAATATACCACCCATGACCCACAACTTGTGTCCATGACCCATACTTCACGGGTTGACCCACGACCCATGCTCCATGACCCACAGACCAACCCATAGCCCACAATTGACCCCGACCCATTATGTGTATTTTTTTTATTAAATGTGTTTTAGTTTTTTGTGTTAGTTAATGTGTGTGTATTTTTTGTATATTAGTGTGTATATTTTTAGTGTATTAGTGTGTGTGTATGTTTGTATTTTGGTGTACTACTAATATGTGTGTGTATTTGTGTACTAATGTGTTTATTAAAAATTTAATTATTTTATGGGTTAATGAGTTTAAACCAACTTGTTATAAACTCAACCCATTATAACCCATTTACTGCGTGAGTGAAAAATGAATTAGATTTATTTTAACCCAACCCAATTTAACCCAACCCATAACCAACCCAATCTACCCATTTGTCACCTCTAGATCTAACTTAAGAAATTCAAAAAATTTCACCCAAGAATTAGTTAATTGTACTAAACCCTACAAGATGTCACGTAATATACATTGCAAATA